TACACAACCGGAAAAAATCTGCCACTTCCTAAGTAGGGTAGACGTGGATATTATCCGGCTGAACAAAATGTGCATTCATCTAAAATAAAAAACATCTATATTGATTCTGACTTTTCTACATCCAACTCACAGGTTTATCATTACTTTGAGAAAACATATTATTAATTTAACCCTTTTTAGAAGGGAAGATATGGTCATTTGTTCTGGGAATGTCATTTTCGAGCCTGAAACCTGAAAAACAGGCTCGGGGTTTAACAGGTGTGCTTTGACAACAAATCCATACAAAAATGTCACCTGTGGAAGCCGTAGTACTGTAAAAAGACGACCAATCATTTCAGCCGACCCGGCTAAAATAACTGGATGGCCTACCTGCCTGTCAGCCTTCCATCTGTGCACAAACTTATCTCGTGCCCTTATTGGTCATGTGCGCGTTCGTGTGTGTTGGAGGAAGGGCTACTTTTATTATTTTCGAATCATAAATCTAATCGATATAGATTTATGATCGATAGATTTATGATTAGCATAAGTTCGTTCATGATGGCTCAATTCAGTGATAGTGATGACATCGTTGCGAAATTATTAACAGTCATTTTCAAGATTGAGTTACAATGATAAACTGGAGTGGCAAAGGATCAGCTGCTGTAAAGTGTCTCTACTGTAGGCTATTTTTTATTATATGTACAGCACTTTGGCTCGACCAAAAATTGTTTATAAATGTGCTATATAAATAAAACTTGATTTGATTGATTTGATTTGCATGATCCGCCATCAAGTGCTTCGTCCAGAAGGATAGGAGGATGGACTTTGTGTTTAAGTGATTTGATCATCAAAGGTAGGCCTAAGTCATTTTCAATGTGGGCCGCCGTGCTGACTTCATTCATTTGTAATTGTTACTTGGCTGTGGGTGCCCTGTCATGATAGGTGTTTATATAAATGGTGTTGTTCTGTGTGGTAGAGGGTCGCTGTCATTGATGCGTTTTGCACCCCGGGCACTGTTTTGATATTCTGCTTAAGTATACAGTGTGACGTAATAACTCTTCTTTTTTTTCAAGGGAAGGGGGGGGGGGGGGGGGGGTCAGAGGGCTATAGGTATAACAGTCACGGCTCGCCACTGTTTGTACTTATAGTGGAAAACTAACCTTGGATGATGGGTTAGTAGATTAAAAGCTTTAGGAATCCAAAGTACAATAAGTACCCTGTATCAAGATTGATGCAAAACAAGTGATATTTGACCTTTTTAGACAGATTTAGTAAAAAAAAAACCTCTTCTGGGGCTATTTGGGTGGATTTTCCATATCTCTGGCCCCCCTTGTTGGATTTTGACATATCTTTCTAACCGTCAGAGCCAATGGAATCGAGGGGAACTCACACATAGTCCTTATTTGGTAATGTGTGTGTGTTAGACTTCCGCATTGCCAAGACCGGAAGCAGCAGCCACTCTGGTAGCTACCATTAGCAGCTAACTTTTGCTCTGCAATTTTTACATAAAAATGGAATTATAGATTATAAATGAAATAATTTTTTTATACAGAGATGTTAAAAACCTATGGATTAACCGATTCAGCCACGTTTTTTCTCGCTTTAATGCCGGTGAACACGTCTTTTGATCAGATTGACAGCTATGGTGAGACGATCGCCCTAGAAGCTCCGTAAAGGTACGTGTTGTGATGTCTGTGTTTGCTTCCCCTGTCACGAGTTCGGATCACTCAGTGATGATACCATATACCTAAATAATCTGTGGAACCTCAGCTTTAATCGGATATCTTGTATGTGCAGCTACGATAAGTAATAAGGGTACTTTTATCTTGAGTTCTGTGCCAATGTTCGTTAGCATTTTCTGCTAAGGGGTAATTTAGATGCTTCTTATGAGACTTGTGTTTGTTTTGGTAAAAATGGTTTGTATCGTCAATTAGCTGAGATTATTCCCGTTAATCTGGTATAACACATTAATAGGTTTTTAAATATTAAGATCCCCTGAGACACAGTGTCGTGAAAAAAAAACCAGGGTCCCCGGCGGGGACCTTGGGGTTTAAGATATTCATTGCTATCGGGATGTTCAGAGCATTCCATGGAATATAACAAAAAGTGTATCACGAGCCGGTTTCTCAAATGTACCTACCCCACCTTTAAGTACCATTATTGATGCAGTACTTTTAATTGAAATTGAATATTTGTACTGTGTGGTATTAGTTTGATTGATTGAAAAGTTTATTAACAGCTTGTATATTGGGTACAGTACAGTACAGCTCAAAACATACAATTGTTAAGGGGATGCAGACCAGAGAAAGACTTTCGTCTTGTTTACATCAGGGTCCCCCATTTCCAATTCATCATGTCATTTAAGACATATAAGACATATTTGACATACAGATGGCTTATTTACAATTTACATACAGGTGGTTTTTTTACATACAGATTGCTTATTTACAATTTTTATTTTAGATTTCGTTCTAATACATCCTAACCGGACATTTAAGACATACCAAGTCTACAGATATACAGTTAGTAACAGAGTCTAAAATGCGAGTATATACATAGATGGGGGGGGAAGCTGTCCATTGAACGACAGGTTGAAATTTGTACCATTACCGGGGCCAGTTTTGCAATGCTCTCCCCCGAAGGTGCTCTTTAAGAGAGGTTTTGAAGGTAAGTATAGTTTTACTTTCCTTTACAGTTGTGGGAAGAGCGTTCCACCTTGATGTGGCATAATTGCGAAACGTGTATTCCCCTTTTTTTGTGCCAAATCTGGATTTCACATGATTTGTGGAGCTCCCTCTGGTGTTATGATCATGGTATTCCTTGACCTTTGGGAAGAATGTTGACATGTACATGGGTACCATAGAGGTGTAGTGGATCTTGTAGACCAGGCCCATTGCAAGTAGCTGTACTCTGTCGTCTACTCTAAGCCATCCTAGGTTGTCAAAGTGGGCAGAGGTGAGGTGGGTTCTAGATGAAAGGTCAAGCAGTAGTCTGACCAGTTTATTTTGCGATGTTTGAAGTTTTATTTTTAGCGCCTTGGAGGTGCTATGGTACCATGACGTGCAAGCATAGTCATAGTACCCTTGAATGAGTGCTCCTGCCAGAGTTTTCAGGGTGTTTTTGTTTACCAGAGAGGAGATCCGGTATTGGAATCTAGTTCTTTGATTGACTTTTTTTATTACATTGGATGCCATTTTGTCACAGGAGAGGTTTGCCTCAAGAATAGATCCTAGGTATGTAATTTCCTTCTTACTTGTGACAATAATGTCACCCACTGCAACTGAGAAGTCGTCGGATTTGCTGAGATTATGTTTCGAACCGAAGAGAATGGACTCTGTTTTACCCAGGTGTAATGATAATTTATTATCGGCGAGCCAGGTGCAGATTCTGCCAAGCTCGGAGCTGAGGGTTTTTTCAACCTGCAATCTGCTCCTGTCAGAGACCAGCAGGGCTGAGTCGTCCGCGAACAGGAACAAATTGCAGTCACATGCTGATGACATGTCATTTACATACATTAGGAACAGTAACGGACCTAATATGCTTCCTTGTGGAACACCACAGCTCACTGGGAGGGGGGGGGGACAGAGTACCGTTTACCTCCACCATCTGTTCTCTCCCCTCCAGGTAGGATTGCATCCAGCTCACCGATAGTTTATCAAAACCAATTGCTTTTAGCTTTTCAATCAGAATGGGGTGATTGACAGTGTCGAAAGCCTTTTGTAGGTCCAGCATCACCATGCCGCAGTATTTGCCCTCGTCCACCTCTTGTTTGATGTGGTCGCTCAAATAAAGAAGGCATGTGTCAGTGGAGTGGGATGTTCTAAAGCCAGATTGAAATTCATAGATTAGTTTCTTTTCCGCGAGGTACTTTTCGACCTGTTCATATACTATTTTTTCCATGACTTTCGATAATTATAGAAACAGGGCGGTAGTTGCCTGGGTCCAATTTGCTGCCCTTTTTGTGCAGGGGGGTTACTCTTGCAATTTTGAAGTCTTTGGGTACTTTTCCCTGTTTTATGGAGAGGTTAATTATGTGAGCTATGACTGGTGAGATGGCGGTTGCTGTGTCTGAGGAATTTGGAGGGGATATTGTCGTGGCCAGTGGCCTTGTTAGGTTGGAGGGCGCTCAGTTTAATGAGTACCTCTGCTGTGGTTTGCTAGACTGAAATCATCTTTGCGTACCCCTAGGTTTTTGTAGTAGGTCATGATGTGATCTACTCCAAAAAGCCCTGAGTGGGAGGGTAATTTATTTACAAGAGTTGTGGCTATGTTTGTGAAAAAAATGTTCAAGTACTTGGCCACATCCAGTTTGTCTGTGATGAGCCTGTTATCTGTCTTTATGTTTAAGTTAGAAAATCTCGTTTTGAGTTTTTTACTGCAGCCAAGCTGGTTATTGAGTAATTTCCAAAGTTCACGGGGTTTATTTTTGTTTTCCTCAGTTTTGACATTGATGAAATTCTTTTTGGCAGTTTTGATCATGGAGCTTACGTCATTTCTTAGTCTGTTTCTTTCAATTTTTAGTTCAGTCGTGGGCCTGGAGTTCACTGCTCGTGCTTTTGGAAAGCATTGACTGACTTTTATGAAACTCAGAGCATTTTTTGTCTCTGGTTTTCATGGCGGTCAGTATGCCGGAGTGCATCCACGGCTCAGCGCGATTTTTTACCCTGGTTGTTCTTAGGGGGGCCAAATCATTGAGTATTGCAGAGAATTTGTTTTTGAAACCAAACCATGTTTCTTCAACTTGTGTACCACTGAGCTCATCTGACCAGTCCAGGCTCTCCAGTTCTAGGTTAAAGGCCTCGCTAGAGTAGTTTTTGAGGTCTCTAGATATGACTGTTTTGTGACAGCCGGCCCTTTGTTTTAGCTTTTAGTACCACTACCACTGGTCATGTATGTATTATGTTAATTTCCATACTGATTTAAACTTGTTGAGGGTAGTTGAACCATGTTCCAGTAGGTGGCGGCATTGCAGCATTCTACATCCGACACGCCGCAAAAACTTCAGAAGAAGAAGTTTGCGACGTCGGCTGTCGTAAACAGCGTCAATATGTCTGAACGAGCAGCGTATGGCTTAGCCTGAAAGATAACAGCTTAGTTTTCCTTTTGGTTTATTTTGCTTTTGTTTCGTTTGGCGACTTGGACTTTATATTAAATGGAGACCAATAGCTTACTATGAAACTCCGGGATCAGAATGACAGGTGAGCTGAAGCTTTTAACAGTAGCCTGATGGAAACATACGTTAGCTACGAATGCTAACGGCACAGCAGGATACGGTCAGCTGTCTATTTATCTGTCTGTCACTACATTTGGTTTGATTGTCGGTGAATTAATAATGAATAGTTCTGCTGACGTTACTCAGCTTTCAAAAACATTTAGCTTATAGCCCTGGGGAGACGTTCAATGCAACACTGACTGCTAGTCAATGTAAGTTAACAACTAAACTCTTGCTAACTTGATGAATACCACTTACACAAAATACTGACGTCTTCTTGTTTTGGTGTTTCAGCTTTTAGAAATTACACAATACATGTTAATTGTTACTACTTCCACAATGTAACCCTATCATCACAAACTTAACTTATTTACACTTTAACCTAGTCGTTTTTGATCAGAGAGCCCTCTGTTCAAAGATAAATGCAGGAGCTTGCAGAGAATCATTATGCTAAACAGTAATATCTTAGATTAACTGACAACTGTGGAATTTATGAAGTATTATACAAGTTGTCAATACAGCAGTGATCTCAGTTAATGCCACACATTGTGACTGTTGCTATAATATTTTTTTTTTAATGTGTTAAGGTCTGATTCCAGAAGAGCACTGAAACTGAGGTATTCCCCTGCTGTAATGCAGCCTAATTCAAGTGAAGGAAATGGTTTATCCCTGAACCTGCAGCCAGAGCCCACCAGGCCTCCAGCCCCCGGGGCGGCTGCTGCCAGCCCTGAGAGCAACGAGGTGCGGGTAAATATGACCAGCAAGCCGGGAGAGAGCGGTGGAGGCGCGTCATCCAGGAGGTCTAGAGTCAACTCCCACAGCCACACACACTCTCAGCCGCACTCACACAACCGGGGGCCACACCACTCCAATCCAGAGGCCGAGCTGGACCCGCCGGACTCTGATTTGGACTCAGGAGAACCCAGCTCCTCCTTTTCTGAGCTCCGGTGTCTCTTCCGCTGGCTTCAAAAGAGTCTTCCTTTTCTCGTCATCATTTGTGCTAAACTGGTCGTCCAACATGCTCTTGGTGAGTTTGAGTTAAGGCTACTGTTGGTTACTTTTTTCAACAATAACTTCACAGATTCACTATATCCTGGAAATATTATATTAGACAGTTGAAGTGCAAAATGACATCCTGTTCCTCCCTCTCCCACATGCTATTTGAAAGATTCCACTATGCCAAAGGGAAACAACCAATAAGATCCAAGGATTTTCCTGTGAACTGTCAAACTAGGCTGCACTGATCAAATAGGAATCAAGATGCTCTTACTTTATTGCCTATTTCTTGCTTCAAAAGGTTACGGTTTAGCTATGAAAAGAGGAGGTTTGGAGCAGAGAGGTGGCGCTTGAATTTGGCTCTCAACATGACAGCCTCATTTTACAGCCTAATAGGCAAAACGGTCATAAAAACTTGATTCACATTTTATCAGCGCTGCCTAGATTGTCAGTTTGATTGGACTGACACCTCAGCTCTGAATGTTTTTTTATAATTTGGGTGAGCTTGCCATTAGCAACACTGGGCAGATGCAGAGAAACATTATCTTTTCCAGAGTTTATCCATCTCGGGCACTACCGTCAGGATATAGTGGCAGTTTTTAGCAAACATGACAAAGTTATATTAAATATTATCACAAACTGTAAGCCATTATCGCAACTGTTGGCACAAAACATCATATTAAACTATGTTCTCCATTTCACAGGGCTAGCAGTTGGGGTTGGACTCTTCACAACTTTTCTATATGTGAATAAAAACATTCAAACTCAAGTATTTCTTCAGGTAAGTTCAGAACAGAAAAACACATTTTTTAATTCCTTATACTTTTGTCAATACATCCATAACCATGTGTTTTCCCTCAGGATCGCCACTCCAAGCTGCAGTGTGTCTGGCTGCTAGTGTTCCTGACCTCCTCCACCCTCCTGCTTTACTACACCTTTCTCAGTGAGACACTCCACTATTGGTAAGAGTGAATGCATCACTTCAAAATACTCAGATTGCTTTATTGTCCATTGGATTTGTATAAAATGAGTAATGTAATTACGGTACACAACAATTATGCGTAATAAAAACGTAACATGCCAAAGTTGGAGGAATAAAAGTGTGTGCATTGAACTGAAAGGATTTGACCTGAATGTCCTCCTCCCTCCAGCCTCATCTTCCTCAGCCCCACCATCGAGCCGCTGGGTTTCTGGGAGGTTCTGTGGACCGTCGGCATCACCAACTTCATAATAAAGTTTCTCTTTATGGGGATGAAGTGCCTTATCCTGCTGATACCGTCCTCACTGGTGAACTATAAAACCCAGGTGAGTGCAGCGAAGGTTTTATCCCTAAAGTATTATCACTAAATGTGAGCGCCAGATGGAAGAATATTTAATACATTTCTCTGTCAAAAATAAAAAAGGTAATTGAAATAAACAGATGCAGGGATAGCCCAGTGACCTAGCTATGGAAGGTACACAAATACACTAATAATCCATTTGTTATCATAGTAAAATGTCTGTATTTTAACCAAAATTCGAATCAATACATCACAAAACAGTTTAAATTGTGTAAGGAGGAAGAGAAAACTTAGGGTCCAAGAAGGCCCGGGGAAGATCACAGGTGGTGTTGGAGAGGAGTTGTTTTACCCCACCAGCTCCTGGGTTCAGTGATGGTCAAAAGAAAGCTCGGATGATCAGAAAAGGTCACAAAATAACTGGGTCAGACTTCCATTCCTGTTGTCTTTCTGCAGTTGAGTGAGATGCCCTTCCTCCTAACCTCACAGGTGTGACTCATCTTGATTGGCTTCCTCCAGCTCTCAGGTGTGGCTCGTTTAGCCACTCCCCTTTTAATCAGGGAGGAATATCTTTTCTGGAATTGCCCCTTGGATTGTTGGTTAATTTAAAAAAATACCACTCACATGTTATGTCTTGGCTATGAGGGCTTGTTAAACTCAATGCAGTTAAAAAATAAATAATAATAAGTAATGGAAACAAGGGATATTGCGAGAAGAAAACTCAGAGAATGAAGTCTCAAATTTCCGAGATTCAGTCATACAATTCGTACATTTGCAAGATAAATAACTTTTTTTAAGGAACCAAATCACACCACGGACACCTAACAGGGAATCCATATGCACATCAGTAAGGAGCTGCCCCAATATAAAACATTGATGTCTCAATTGAGTTGCAGTTCCTGATTGACAAAAGCTACTGCCTCACAACAATGTATCTTCCAAGTCTGTTAGCTTATAATAAAATGGTTAGTCTGGGCAGAAATCAGCAGTGTTTCCTTAATGCTGAATCTGATTGCAATGTAGAATTTGATCAGCTCATCCATTGCAGGCATAATGGTATACACCATGCGGTGGCCCCGCAGATGTTGTACATGCGGCTCTTGTTCAGAAGTTCTTATTCAGCGTGTGTGCGTCTGCAGGGCCGGTGGGTGATGCTGAGCGAGGAGCTGGGTCAGGCCCACCAGGCCACGGCTCCTGTCCCGCTGTGGTTCCGCTACCTGGTCACCTACCAGGAGGTGGACGGCACCCCCGGCCTCACACTGGGAGTCCTGCTGGCTTTGCTCTACCTCATAATGAAGGTGTGATCCGTCAAACTAACCAGATATACTTGTTTTTATTATTAATGTTTCTGAACTGAAAGCCATTTTTCTCCCTACTTTAGCTTTTAGGATTGTACGGACAGTGGACGTCCATACTGAAAACTGTGAGGGTCTTTCTAGATGGCGAGGTCAGTGGGGAATCCTCTTAGTTAAATATTAAAAGGTCACATTGAGTAACCAGCTGTGTTGAGGTGTTGGGTTTTTGTGTCTCAGCATACAGGCACAGCAGCCACTAGGAGTCAGTGCAGCGAGGCCGGAGATGTGTGTCCCATCTGTCAGGGCGAGTACCGGGACCCCCGGGTGCTGCTCTGTCAGGTAATACCTCTGCTCAGGATCTAGCATTATACTTGTAAAATGTAAAGTTTGAGTTATTGATGAGCTTTTACTGCTTAAACAGACAGATATATATCTTTTAGGCGTCTGTCACATACTGTATATCCTTCTATGTTATTATTACTTCACTTTTTTAAACTTTACAGCAGTTGTGGAATTCATGTGCTTTAGATCACAAATGTATAATCAATGAGCAGGCGCAGAATTACTTAGGAACTAATTATTTTAAATATATAAACTTATATCAGACATTGGTCATTCTAATAATAACTAAGGCTGTCAATTTGAATCCTCGATATTAATCTGGACACCTAAACGCTTCCAAAAAAATAAATTGAATTGACTCAAACTTCCTCCTGTAATACCAGCGCAGATTTTGTGGTTACATGGCAAACAAAGTTAACACAATGACGGTGGAGATATCCCCCCCCCCCCCCCCCTATGTGTATAACAGAAAAGTCTGTTTTAAAAAGCTTCCAGATGAAAGAAAAAAAATCATGATTAATGACATTATAATTGTGATGACATTCTTAAGTGATTACCACTAATAAGGACCCATGTTGTTCTTTTGAAATGATTCTAATCCCATCCTGTGTTCCTGAACCAGCTGTGTATCTTAAGTCATGCATAATGAGTGCAGGACGTGCTGACGTGTGTTTCTGTGTGCAGCACATCTTCTGTGATGACTGCATCGCGCTGTGGTTCAACCGGGAGAAGAGCTGCCCTCTGTGCCGCACCGTCATCACTGAGAAGGTCTACAAGTGGAGGGACGGAGCCACATCTCCACACCTGCAGATTTATTAAGTATTAAGGTATAGGTGGGGGGGATCTAGGGTGTTGGGCTCGTATTTATAATGTGATTTTGTTTTTCTCCATACCCCTCTTTCCAGTGAATAACACACTGTTTCTTTAACGGGCTAAGGGCCACAAGTTGCACCTACAGTTATTATGTTTCTGATGTATTCACCAGTCATCCCTATTCCTCACTCTCACAGATGACAGAGCTGATTATTGTCATGCCCTTAAAGAGCCTGTGACACAGGTTTCCCCCATCATCCAAACCCATCAATTTGAGTAAATATTGTCCCCTTGAAAACCGTTACTGAACTGATTTTGGATATTTGTACTTTGATAACCATTAATCTGCCCTTCAATGTTGACCATTTCCTGGATCTTCTCGGGGATTCTTCAAGTCCCGCCAAATTACGTGTGACGTCATTGCGGGCACAGCGCTCCAGCTGCACCGTTCAGGATCCCAGCACCTGCATGTAAACGCACGATGGTGCACACAGCAGCAAGCTCAGACAGCTCAGACAGTTTAATGTTGAACGTGTCTGAGAGCTCATATGAGGCTGAAGGATCGGTTTATGTTGTATCTGTTAGAAGTTTAGGAATTAGGTGCGTCAATATGGGCGATCATACGGTCATGTAGCCAGTGGTGGAATGGGACTAAAAATCATCCCGGGACTCTCGACCGGCCCACTTCAGTACCGCTAGTAAATTGTCAACGGGGGGAGTGGGGGATGTGCTAGTGACTTATCCGACCGGCCCACTTCGGTACCGGCCCATCGGGATTCGTCCCGATGGCCAGTCCGCCACTGCACCCAGCCCAGCCCACGTAAACTGTCAACGGGGGGAGCCTCGCTGCGGGGAAACGGTGGACCTAGTGTCTCGATCGGAGTGGGAATAATAATAATAATAATCCGTGCATTTTATCCATTAATTTCCCCAACATTGTGGTGAAAAAAACACACGTTTAATCCATGTTGGTGTACTACAACTACAAAAAGCATCGGTTTGTTTTCTCATCAGGAAATGCAGACCGGCTCAAACAAACGATTTTTAAATCATCATCCTCACGATCATTTAATGTATCATATGTTCGCCGAATTGACATGAAAGCACTAATACATGTAGTTTCATCCACTTGAGTTTACAACTACAAAAATAATCGATTTGTTTTTATATCACATCCTACAGGAGGAAATTCAGTAGCTCTCACTACCGATTTTTAACCCTAATGTAATCATCATCTTCACCACGATCATCTATGTTTATGTTCGCCGAATTGACATGAAAGCACTGACAAATATGAATATACTGTAGTCAACTTCATTAAAACGTTATTAACGTGCCTAAACTCAGTAATTCACCATTTCTACGCATGACAACACACTTTGTCCGTGTTTGGCTCTCTCGCCGCACAGTGAAGCGTTCCCGCATTGACGTCACTTCCGGCTTCCCCCAAAACTTCAAAATGAGTCGAAGGAATTTCCCCGCGATGTTAGAAATTATTGATATTTAACGGAACGGTATCGCACCTTCTTTTTTAATCTGATGGTTCAAGATGACTAGTAGCCCAATATTTCATTGCACAACAGTTGTTGGGATGCTGTCACAGGCTCTTTAAGTGATTTATTTTGTATTTTAAAGGTGGGGTAGGTCATTTTGGAGAAACCAGCTCGAGTGCGCTAGAATTTGTGGGAACAAATCTGCCACTTCCTTACAGAGCCCCTCCTCCAACACACGAACGCGCACATGACCAATGAGGGCACGAGATAAGTTTGTGCACAGATGGAAGGCTGACAGGCAGGTAGGCCATCCAGTTATTTTAGCCGGGCCGGCTCAGATGATTGGTCATGCTCTTTACAGTACCACGGCTTCCACAGATGACATTTTTAATGGATTTGTTGTCAAAGCACTTAAGATATTCATTGCTATCGGGATGTTAAGAGTATTCCATGGAATATAACAAAAAGTGTATCTCGAGCCGGTTTCTCAAACTTACCTACCCCACCTTTAAGCTGTTTCTTTTTGTGTTGTGTTGCTTTTATTCACCTTAAATCTCAATATAATCGTTCCTATTGTAGCAGGAAATTATTCTACTTTGACAGTTTCTTCTACTTGTAAATACGACAGAGAAAAATATATAAAGTATTTTAAAGATCTTTTTTCCTCAACAACGCGTTTGAACAAACATGCAACACATGTGACCCTGTTTCTGAATTTGTGGCAGACGTGTTATTTGTAACAGCTCAGGAGGGGCTGCTGAATTCGGCTTTATCTCTGAGCTCCTACGGCACTGTGAAGGCTTTGAGACGCCCGGTCCATCACATGGTTCGAGAGTGACCTGTCATCCTGCATCCTGGCACTGAAAACATACATGGCAGGCTTAAACATTTCTTTACGTGATGGATAAACAGTTTGCCTTTTGCTTTCAGCGTTTGGTGATTATTTTTTCCACAAATGATAAAAAGGATGCAACTGAGATTTATTTACAAACTATTTTTCTATAGAGGCTACAGAGCCTCGTTTTTGTAAAAACCAAAGACTGGGACAAACATCTATTTTATTATGTACAAAAATCATTTCACTGAGTTGTTATTTTATCCATTTAGATGATTCTGAATAAAGATCTACAATTTAAATGTTTGACTTGTCTTGTGTTGCAAAAAGACTAAACATTTGCTGATGCTTTAAACTAAAGCAATTGTCAATTAGTGCATGAGTCCACTCTGCTCTGATTGGTCAACTGCTTAGAGATGTCCCACCCCTTATCACGTACAATGTGTTGGAGCGCTAGTTACATAGTGAAGTTACTATGTCGAGGAATTTAATAAAAGTTCTAGCAGTGTGTGGGAGAGAAACTCGCTTTGGAAGGAACTTTGGGATTTTAGCTTTTGCAGACCACATGCACACAAACCTACCTTGCCACGGCTCAGACTATTTATTTGATTTGACTTCATACATATTACAACTTATCAATCCCCATGTGAAGGGGCAGATCTAGAGAAGAACAAGCAACATCATGTTATTTAATTCCCACTGGTGATTTTATTCAAAATGTGTGTTTCCCACCTGAAGTAAGCCGTTCCATCATCTGTGTGGAGGACACTCAGGTATACCTGCACAGCAGCAGTGTATCCTTGTTCATTTCCCAAACTCTTTCATTCAATCTACTCGCACTCAGATGAACATCCTCGGTTTTGCATCAGTGTTTTTCTTGCTTTAAGCACTGCAAAAATAAAAAGTTCAAGTTTTCAGCAGGAAAGTTTTAAGACATTGTGTCCCCCAATAAATACCTATAGGAATAGGTCACTGTCCTATATGTTGGAATGAAAATAAAACAGCTTTAAGCATGTTCTGTGGAAATAAAATCAACAGCTTTAAGCATGTTCTGTGGAAATAAAATCAACAGCTTTAAGCATGTTCTGTGGAAATAAAACCATACTTTACATGCTTATGGGTGAAGTATAAAGCCAGATGTCAAATCAATCACACAATCTGCTGCCTTATCTAAATACTACTACATAATAAATACATAGTTTGCATAGTGTGACCAATGCAGTAGAAACAAAATGGCACTTAAAAATAAATATCACAAGTAAAGGAAGTTAGTAGAGTTAAAAGTGGAGTGACTGGTGAAAGAATAAAAACCAATAGACACTGACTGACCCAATCTAGAAACTGGATCTATGCTATCTTCAGCTAGGTTACACACAAATACAAAATAAACTTCTTTTGTGAGCATCAACATGGAAATAAATCTGATCCAATATGAGTTTGAGCTTTGATGTTCTCATTTCAAAATCATTTGGTTCATTGTAACAGTGCTTTTGGTCAATCACTAAAGTATTTGGATAACACAGGGAGCCATTCAAAAACTGAAGCCAGTGTTCATCCACTACATCTTCCTCTTGGGAATCTGCAGAGAAGCTTTGAACAGCAAGAAGCTCTACTCTAGCAGATATTACACCTCAGGGGTTAATAGATGGTCTGCTCCCTAAATCAGAGTTAATCCCCCTACCACCAAAGAATAGGGCTGTACCGAATGTTGTTGATAGGAAGCCATTTTTTCGACAGACGAGTGTCAAGCGAATGCAATGACATATGACCCATTAAAGTGATCTAGTATAATAGTGTTTGGGCAGAAATCAATTTGTGTTATTGTGGTTATATAAATGCAATGTATGACTCTGTTAGACAACATGTTTTATAGATACTGCAATACATTTTGACTTGTGTAGTTATTTGGAATGTTTAGATCAGTCAAAATACATCCGACCCAGCCACAACTGGCATCTACCAATGGTACAATACTAATAACATTAATTTAGTCTAATCTTTATGTGCAAAACTACTGTTTTTAAACAGGATGAATGGAATAAAAAATACAAAAGATACTGAACGTTGCTTTTTCATTTGAATGCCTACGTTTCGATGCTTCGTACTATTCGGTACAGCCCTAACAGAAAGCAAACATTTAACACCCGGAGCACATGAACATGAAGACAGCCTGAATCGATAAAACTCGGTGATATCAGTTTGCCTTCGCCTATTTCTGGGTCCAACTGACGGAATAGATCAATTAAAACATAATGCTGCAGGCGTCATTCGAGCTAAGGGCAGGTCATTAATGCAGAAAGGCATTTAGTTTGTTAACATTCAAAACAACAGAAACTGAACAGTGCTTCTGGTCAGGCCTCAGCGGAAAGCTTTCCAGTCAGAGGACTAAAGCAGCGCCAGCATTGATTGGGGTGGAAGTGATGTTTCCAGCTGACATTTCAGTCGTCTTTTTATAGCTGCTTTTCTGTTATACGTGCTCCGCCTACTCCTGACCACATGCTCCAGAGCAAAGGCATTGTGATTGTTTTCCTCAAACAAAAGGAATAGTGTGTTCAGTGAGGAATCGGTATCTGAAGATGACTCGACCTACAGATAGTGCAACCTGCAAGTGATGACTGCTATAAAAAAAAAGAAGCCTATTAAGGGAGAGAAAAAGCCCCTTCTTACTAAATTCTCTAGAGACAATGAGTCGTTAACACTAAAAGTAACTTTGTCCAGACTTAAGGATAAAAGAGCACCAGTAAATCATATGATAACGCCCCCTCAGCACTCATCAGCAGGCATTACCCAGCCAACTCTCACACAACTTCCCCGACTGACCACTCATCTTCAGCTGTAGATGATCAGGCGGAGGCAGGACAGGAAGGCGCTCGTGGAAGAGCTGGTGATCAGCACAGACAGTGTCAGTCAATTAAAAAAAGAAATTCTACAAGTCTCTGAACAAATCAACAAAAGGGAAGAGGAAGTCCGTAGGAGAGCCGTGCGTCATAGGTTCATCCGTAGGTGTTCGGGCCGTTTGGAGTTCATGGGGTAGGTCTGCTTTTTGTACGGCCCTGCGTTGCGGCCTGAAGGCTGCCTGATGGGAAGCGGCGCAGACACCTCGGAGGAGCCACCGCTGCACGTGTCCATCTGCTCCGCTGCTGACTCCTCCATGGGCTGCTCCACAGGGCGGCCGCTCAGCGGGGGGCCCCGGGGCCAGCAGTCCCCTCCCACAAACTTCAACGGACTGTGGAAGAGGTGAGAAATCATGGTCTGTGATGCAGCAGCTCTTATATGTAAGGTTAGAGGTCAAGCCATCTGTGTTAGGGCTGCACGATTAAGAAACAAATAACTAACGGGATTATTTTTAAGTGATACTGCATTTGCGATATGATTCATAATACTGTAGTGAATTATCTTTTGTAAAAGAGTTTGTGGAATACACATTTGAAATCTTACCTAGAAAAAAATGGAGGCCAAAAATTTAGTTGTAGGTGAAATAAATGGTAATCCTGAAGTTATTCTCTTTTTTTCATATATTAAATAGCTGTTTAGAAGTGTAGTAGTATTGATAAAATCCTAACGCATCCCTAAGTAGGTTTTCTTCTCTAAACAAACCCCATTAAATAAAGTTCAACTGAAGATATAATAAACCGATCCCTACTTATGGACAAACTGTTTACTGCTGCGTATTTGGAAAGGAATTGTTATTTAACCGTCTTATGAGGGCTCTATTTGGATCAAGCTGGCTGCGTTTACAAAGTCAGAAAATGAGTAATCAGGGTTCATACACTTTTTCACCAATGATTTTCAATGCGTTTTCCATGACTTCTCAATGACCTTTACCTAATTTTCCATGACCAAAAAAAAATGACCACTGAAAATGGTTTATTTTAACATGGAACAGGAAAATAAGGTCTGCATATGAAACATGTTGTGCCTGTCTACAACAAATCAAATAGTAGGCTTACTAGCTTCTACACGCTAAAGCAACTGTAGTCAGGGAGGCAGTCTAGTTTTTTTAGGTATGAAAAAGGTGACAAGGATCCGAGCCCCCCGACCCCACGGGATATTGGCTTTAAAATGAGGAATAACAGAGGATTTTAGCAGTCAGAACAACTAAAGCAGCAGGTAATAATAACAGAAACGCTAAAGAGTCACATCTAATAGAAATATATAAAAGCATTTATTTTAATTGTGTAGCAGTCAGTTTATAATTTTGGCAGCACTGTTGAGCATTTTGAAAATTTATTTTCATGCCTCTTAGTATTTTTATAATACTTTTCTACTTTCACTTGAGGAACATTTTGAATGCAGGACTTTTACTGTAACAGAGTATTCCTACACTCTGGTACTTCTACTTTTCCTCAAGTACAAGATCTGAGTACTTCTACTTTTCCTCAAGTACAAGATCTGAGTACTTCTACTTTTACTCAAGTACAAGATCTGAGTACTTCTACTTTTAGTAAGTACAAGATCTGAGTACTTCTACTAAAGTACAAGGTCTGAGTACTTCTACTTTTACTCTAGTACAATCTCTATACTTATACCACCTCTGTTTATAGCCTATGAAAAAAACTATTAGAAAACGAAGGCTAAAGCTAACGTTAGCAGATAGTGACAATGTATGCTAGCTACATCACGCTCTGCTCTGAACACCTGAACGGCCAGTTCGAACAGCTGTTCACCAGCGGCTCAGTCTGTGCCACAGTGACTCCGCACAGTTAACGAACACACTGTAGATAATGTAGCTGACCCTCATCCCGGAGCAGCAGAGTTCAGCCGGCCCGACAGGCAAGAAGACTCGAGCACACAGCTCGCGCTTCATATATTAAAAAATAACACCATGCGCGTCATGATGGCACATAACAGCTCGCGACCGCAGATTATTTCGGCGATTAGATAAAATGTAAATTATATTTGACGCAACTTTAGTTACATTTCCATGACTTTTCCAAAACTTGGGGGAAAATATTGTTTTCCATAACTTTTCCAGGGCCTGGAATTAGCATGTTGAATTTCCATGACTTTTCCAGGTTTTCAATGACCGTACGAACCCTGAGTAATCAATGTGAGAAAGAATTTCTGCTGGTAAAGTCTGAAAATACAGATTCAATGGAACCAGAAAGATTTTTTTTTAAAACGCCGTTACCTCACAGGTGTTCGGGGGCTTCCTGGGAACTTCCTTGGCGAGCGCACCTTTGGCTCGAAAGAGAACTTCTCTTTGACATGTTCCAGCACAGATGGAGCTACGTACGTGAAACCCTGGGGAGGGGGTGGGGGACAAAAACAGAGAGAGGTCTGAGTCCACCTCTTCAAAGAACATCTTTCCAAAAAAACAACCCACAGCTGATGATGAGCAATGAAACGCTGAGTAAACCCTATCATGCAATGTGGTGGAAGAGTGAGTTAAGCTTCCAGGAAAGCTAAGGACTTCACCAGATGGCATGCATTAACAGATTCTCGTAAGACATAACTGTTTTTATGATTGTTTGCTGACAAAACAGAAATAGTAAGGGGCAAGGGTAAAACCCAATGTTCTATTAAACACCCTCCGTCTGCAGATGCTCAATCCAAAAGGATGTTTTCATTAGAGATGATTCAATACACGATTTGTTATTAAATTAGTAAAAACTCTGCCAACACTGACAGAAACACAGAAAGAGTTGCAGTTTGCTGAGAGCTACGACAGTAGGCACTCACCAGGAAGGCTTGATTTGCGCTCTCGCTGAGCGTGGAGTCGTCGGGGCTGTCCACCGGAGTCTGGCTGGTGAACTTGGAGTCAAACTGGCTGACATCATCCGCCGATTGCTGCCAAAAGAAGCAGGTCAGTAAATTGATCGCATGGGTAGTAATCATGTCACTGAGGATGTTGATGCATTGAAAAAACCCTTACCAGGTAGGGTTTGAATGGAGGCTCTACTTTGCGAGCGAGAAGATCGTCCCAGTTTATTTGCCGGAAGAATGGGTGGGCCTTGGAAATACAATGTAAGCAGCAGAGATTTTATACTTCATGATTAGGACAAGGTTAACACGGAAGCATTTCTTCTTACAGATTAATTATATCGTCGGTGTTAACAACCTTCATGCATACAATTCAAACTTTACTTTCAAAGGATGTATTTACCTGGACTTCAGCAGCATCTCCCTGTCCAGCCCCAAGTCGCAACGAGGCATTTCGTTTTAGCAGCTGAAGGAGAAAGAGACTTATTTATCTACTACTCCAAAATGTTAAAAACGGAGAAGAGTAAGCCAGTTTATGTTGCTCACCTTTTTCAGCAGGTCCCTGGCTTCTTGTGTGAGGTAAGGTGGAAGGCTGAGCTTGCATTTTAAGATTTTGTCTATCGTCTTCTTTCGGTTTTCACCAGTGAATGGAGGCTGTGAGAAAGTAGCAGGACAGAAACCACAGTAAGCATAAGTAGCTAATGCTTCTTGACTTAATGAACCTTTGAGTGTGCATTTCTTCAGCGGTGATGCTATGGGATGGATCAGTGTGCACTTACTGCTCCTGTCAGCATGTCATACATAAGAGCGCCTAAACTCCACCAGTCCACTGCTCGGTTGTGTCCGCTCCTCATCAGGATCTCTGGAGCCCTGAGGACGGAGAAAAGAATGAGCACATTCACTACACTGTAGGAATGAGGAAATATGACTAAATGTACATCTGTCTGCCGACATTAATCTGCAGAATCAGCATGATGACTGTGTGACATACATGTACTCAATAGTGCCGCAGAAGGTGTGGGTGACTGTGCCGTCATGGATGGACTCTTTGCATAGACCAAAGTCTGTCAACTTCACGTGTCCTACAAGGAAACAGAGCAAACGTAAGATGGAGATATTGGAGAAAGAATTCCTAAGTGGGAAGGACATTTATCTAGGAGCAAGTTTTTCTAATTTGTTGTGAGTGATCCTTGTGTACCGTTGTTGTTGAGCATGATGTTCTCAGGCTTCAGGTCTCTGTAGATGATGCCTTTCTGGTGCAAGTGACCCATCGCCATGGAGATCTCAGCCAGGTAGAAACTGTAAATACAATTTTTTTTATTGAAAACAGGTTATTCAAATGTCCTTTACTATGACCACTGACTATGTATATTTGGAAATGGTCTGAATACTCCACACTGATCTGCAGTTAAAGTGTTATTCTCAATGTATAGGAATATCACACACCCTTATTTGTTCAGCAGCTTGGTTCATGTAATCACCAGTTCCATCTACAGGCTGTGTTTATACACAACAGCAGACACTGCAGGTGTTTTGTCCCGACTCCAAGTGACCTTCACACTCCCTAACAAACTCCATGCTTTCCACTACAAATCTCCTTAAAATAAGTTGATTGCAACTGTGAATCAGCCAGACACCACAGATCACACTGATCATTTCAGACATCAACTGGCATATCTTTGAGCACCTGGAAAAGCGCTTTGAAATAAATGTATTATTATATCGGACATAACTTGTTCCGTAAAAGTCACTGCGTACATGCATGTTTTTTTTAACAGTGAAAGCTTACTGTTAAATAGGTTTTTGTGCATGTTAATAGTCTGCAAAGGCTAAAACTCAGAAGTTCCCTCCAGAAGGAGTTTCTCTCCCACACTCTCCCCCCTGCCTGAAACGCCTCCATTAGACTCCTTTGTTTTTCCTCCGAGAAAACATGACATCACTATTTATCAAAATACAAATATGAACCTGATAATGAACATAATGAATGCAAAGCTGATAAAACCGTGACTACTACAAAGTCATTTGTCCTGGGAATAGAAGCTGTTTGCAACATTTCCCACTAGTGACAAAAGCCAGATGTTAGTGGGTGTTAGTGGTTAGTGGCTTTGAGTCCGGTGGGAAAGGGGCTTAAGAGACAGATAGCACACTGGGTGTTTGTGATGATGTCCTTACTCTTGCCATTTTGAAATGGTTTAATATTGTAAATAATGTGGGTTGCCTTTAAAATATTGATACAAACACAGGACGTGAATGGAAAGAGGATGAAAAGATTCCGATAGATTTTGATATGACAGGTTTAGACATAACATCCTGAAAAAGGACACTTTAAAAAGAACTCAATCATGCTTTAATTTTCTCGGGGTAAACTCTCTTTGACCACCAGAGATGCTGAGTCAAAGAAAAAAAGAAGGCTGCTGTAATTTATGTCTGTACTAGTGACAGACAAAATAACTCACCATGCTGTGTCTTCCATGAAGATGCCCTCTCTTTCCAGCTGCATAAACAGCTCCCCTCCTGCAGTCAACACATACAAAGTCAGACACACATTTGCACTTTATAGGGAAAAAAACACCCATCCAATGTCTGGCACACACTCAGATTTCCAAACTTATAAAAAGATGGAATATATTTATGACAAAGTGTAGGCAGCCGTGTGTCGGATATGGTGTCGCTCTGCTCACCGCTCAGATACTCCAGGATAAGGTAGAGCTTTCCCCCCGTCTGGAAGGCATAGATGAGGTCCACAATGAACGGGTGCTTCACCTCCTCCAGAATGTTCCTCTCAGCTTTAGTGTGCGCCGTGTCCTTTGCATTACGCACAATCATCGCCTGGTAGGGGACAGCAAAGTACAGGATATGAGAAACTATTCAGGTCAAATCTTTAGCCCCATTAGCTTTTGCAAAGCTTCAACATCAGGTGCAGAGTTCGAGCAATAAAACAGGACACCAGGTAGGTAGCTACAGTCAAGTCTCATTTAGCCAATAGACAGTGTCTTTATCAGAAACCCCAGGCTTCAGGGAATACGGGCAGAGTCTGGGACCGGCTCTGAGGAGGCCGAGGTGAACAGAAGCAGCAGACGGGAAAATGCATCTGCCCTTAGCTTCTGGCTTTACATGCACCAGTATGTCACCAGAAAAGAAACACAGTTAAAGGCATAGTTTGTATTCTTTGAAGTGGGGTTGTGTGAGGTATTTCTCCATAGTCCATGTTATTGTGTGACTTTGGAGAATCCAAACTAAACAAAGTCACACAATAACCCAAATAAACAAACCAATAGAGATGAGGTAGACCATCAACTCTCATGTTCTTCTGTTTTCACTCAATGGAGCATGGGAAACGGCTTCAGTTACCCATTACAAAGGGCTGTCTGACAGTAAGGTAAAGTGGGTCAAATATTTTAAATATAGGGTAAACAGTTTTGATTATTTTTTTGGTGGCAAAAAAACATTTATTACTGCCCCATCCACAGCAGTACACTACTTAGCTTCTAACTTGGAGCCTGCAGACCATCATCTTCTGTAGATTATAAACCAACTATGGATAAGTACCTCATCCTACCCCAATTCAAAAATGTAAAACTATTCCTTTGAAATTGCATTGTGCCTGGGAGTCAATAGAGTATTGAGTTTATGGATTAGATAATGCAGATGCTATTCCTCTCATGCTACACCTCATTATTCTGTATGTACACTATAGGGCAGCTTTAATTGGTGCAAATGAGCATAGCTGTGTAAACCCTCATAAACAATTATATACAATTGAACCCTTCAGCCAAAGCTGAAACAAACATATTCACACACACTCACCTTCTTCAAAACCTTCATGGCAAATATCTTTCCGGAGGTGGCACCCGATACCTTCCGAACCTGAAACACCTGTAAAAATGTACATTGCACTTGAGTATGAAGGAACATATGATGGGAAACCAGAAGTATACATTTTGCCTACTATTGTTGATTATAGAACTTTTTTCCAGATAAGCCACAGAAAATGGAAGAAGAAACTTTAAAAACTGTATAAAAAAACATTGCGCACCCTCCTGCCTGAACAATTCACTACTTTTCCATACCTTCTAAAGCTTTTTCAAATATACTAAATTCAATGTTTAAGACTTTTCAAAATCCAAAAGATAATCTAGAAATAAATATTGGCATCATAGACCAGACATTTTCATGAAAGATTATGTGCAATTATTACCCAAATGAACCCTTCCATTAGAGCCATGTTACATTGTAAGAGGAACATTTAGTGTTAAGTTTGTACTTGTCATGCCAGGAAATAAGATGCCTTACCTTTCCATAGCCACCCTTTCCCAACACTTTTAACAGCTCAAAGCACTCAGGCCTGATCTGCTCTGTTCCCTTGTTTACGCTGTTCTCTGAAATTTCAAACTTCTCACAGTCATCCATGTTACTGGCAAAACAAAGAAATTAAGAAAAGAAGAGGGGGTCACATTTCGAAAACATTTACTCAACATTATTTCAGTGAGACACACAGTAAACAACACTGATCCACAATCTACCAGAAAAAGTTGCTATCTAAGCACTAACATTTATTCAAAACTCCTGAGGATCATTTTCCAGTCAGCCAAATTACATGGTACGCACTTTTACTTGTAGTACTTACAATTCAAAGCCACTGCACTGGTCCATGTATTCACTGAGCTGGCCCTGAAAACAAGAGACCGGACATGTCATGTCAAATACAAGAAGTTATACACAGGTTTTTAATGAAGTGAGTTTATTTCAAAGCCAAATATATAGTCTAAGTGAGTTAATGCGGATTAAGTTAATAGGTTGTTACTAGGCTGGCTAAATAGTCACGAATTTCTCCTTAAATAACAACCTTATTAAAATACCCCCATGTTGGAACCAATAGCTAATAAACGAATGCCCAATTAGGCTAACTAGTGACTTGGCGTTAAGTGGTACATCTAACAGTGTACTCATGTAAACTACAGTTCCGCTAGCATTAGTATGATTTCAGATTGTTGTTGCAGTGAGTTCATATGTGAATTCACTACTCATACGTATAAACTGTGTCAAAGAAGTTTACAAACTAAACATGTGTAATTCATGCTACTAACTAATCAACAGCCCATTATGCTACTGTACATCCTTACAACCAACGAATGCCGATGCAGATGACAATAAACCCACTCACCCCATTGTCGAACATGTAATTAGCTAAGACCGAGGAAATGTAACGTATAACTTTAACCAATGTATGATTCGCTTCTATTTGGCTTTGGTTATGGACATTTCCTGGCGTTATTGGCTATTTTTTCCTGACAACTCATTGCGAACATGGTTGGTAGTTTCACTGCGTTAACATAACGTTATGTGCGGTGACCATAATCCGAGACACACACCAACTTGTCCGCCGTCAACACTTTTAACGTTACTTATTCGGGGATGTGGTTGACTGTTGTCGGTTATAAAAGCTGAACTTTGCTCAGCTATCATTTTTAGAAAATGCAATGTTAATATATTTAAATACATTGTAGTGACTTTTTAATGGAGCACAGCCAGATTCCGCGGGAAAGGGGTGAATGAGGACATGTCCGATAACGGATCCCTGGTTTTAGCATCGCAGGCCTTGTAGCTGCTAGCTAACTAGCTAACGGCGGCGGTGTTAGCCTCAACGTTAACGTAAACTCACCCCGTCCTCAAGTTCGTCGTCAGAGACGTTCTCATCCGGTTGATCCAAATCGATGTCGAAAACCCCTGCCATGGCTGCGGTACTTCCTTTGACGTTTAATCCAAAAACACAGTCCCGGTCCCCCGCCTCATGGGAGAGCCATCACCGTTACAACCGGCTAGAGCAGAAAGCATGGGCTAACATCCAGCTAACCAAAACAAGACGAGGACCCAGCGGCAGATAAAGCCTCTAGTGTCGGCCACCGGGATTTACGGCTCGGGGTGGCTTGGAGACCTAAAATATGAGTGGAGAATTGACAACTTGCAATTTCTAAAGAAGGGACATTTGATCTTAAAATGATTCAAAAGCATATAAGCATATATCTAATATTTGTAATATGTAATGTAAATCCATTTGAGCTCTCGGAAAAGCGCTCTAATACAAATGTATTATTATTATTATTATTATGTAAATCAGCTAACCTTTAATACAAATAAAAAAACGACCTTTCCTCACTCAGAAAATAAACTCTGTTGTTTTCAGAGCAAGTCAAACTTGTACCAGATGAGTTTCATGTCATAAACTACATTTTGTACATACAAACCTGGAGCTCCTTACGGTTCCTAAATCCTTTAATAGAGGAATCATTTAAAGTTATTCATAAACTACTCATAATCTGATTTCAGTTGTCTAAACGTGCTACTGTTGTTATTAAATCCCCAATTGATTTTTTTGACATTGGCAATTACATTTTTAACAGAATAAATGATGAATGATTGTTAGTCACAGGTTTTAATTCACCTGGACTAAGATGGTGTGTCAACAACCAGTTTCTCCAGTTCAGTGTTGGAATGAGGAATTGTACAGCTAATCTGAAATCTGGTGTCACAATGATCAACTGTGGATAACAAGACTTTATAAATAAAGCACAGATTATGCAACATGTTACAAAATGCAGATACACACACTGGCAAATTGTGTATACAATATTTATTTATTCTGTAGTGTGTTCATTTGGTTAAATCCTTATTCTATATTTCTGACACAGAGCGGTGATCACTGACATACAAAGCAGGAACACCAGCAAATATTTCGATTATGGTATTACTATTTTTTTGTTACAATGAAAAATGTTGAGAAGATTATACAAAACTCTTCATATCTCATTGGTTTGAACAGATGTTTTAGAACTTATCTAAGATGCAGCTGAATTTATTGGCTGCTGAGAGGATGCACAACAGGCCTTCGTCACAAAGGTCATCTTGACATGTCACAGTAGGAAAAGCACACATAGGCCTATAAATAACAACATGAACGATTGATGCAATGTTTTCCCTGTCTGTGTCATGATTTTGCTATTACACATGCTGGCTCATTCACATGAGAGCTTCTTGGGACACATGAATATAACCATCATTTATGTTTGTACCTGTGCTTTCCCAACTGTGACAGGTCAAAACGGCTGTAATAAAATGAAATGATATTTGGCTTTACACTGTCAGAGGTTAAGTGTCATCATCATAGTCACATTTCTGTAGTTCACTGCAGGGTCTGTCTACGACAGCCTTTACTCACCAGTAGGGGGCAGCGAGGAAAAGGAAATCCTCTCCAGGGAGTGAAACTTTTTTATTTTTACTATATCTGCTGATAGCTTCACTTTTTTCATCTTGATGCAGAATGGGTATTTCCAATCCTCATGTGCTCCCTCATCAATTTCTCTTTTTCTTCCTTTGAGAGAAATATCAAAGTGCGATAAGGTTGACTCATTCTTTTATTTGTTCTCAATGTCCAAACATGAATGATGTTCTTTTTTATAGCCAATATGTTTTTTGGGGAAAAACACATCAGAAATAGATTGTTTAAGCCTAGTAATGCAATTTGCTTTCATATTGTATAACAATTTGTTTTTAATGTGTTGGCATTTAGATGCTTATATACTTTTAAAAATATTCAATTGCCATTTTTAACAGAAACAAAAAACACAATTAGTAGCACTTACAAGGTTTAGCCTATTTGAAGCTAATGCACTGGCACTTACGATGAAGTGAATGATACCTGCATGTTTCTTGCTGTTCTGAGTTCGTGTGGTTAATTGCTCTTACCTGTATTGTAAGTATCTTTGGATAAAAGCGTCAACTACATAAAATCTAATGTTATGTAATGTAATATTGTGGGGGTCTGCCTGAAACATCCTCCCTCCCTGCAGGGCAGCGTTACTTTGAACGCTGCCTCAATTCCATCTGATAGTTTGTTTCCCTTCACTGCCCTATGATCAAAACCAGCTGCAGCTTTTCTGTGTGTGTTCTCTGTTTTGTTTAGCTCTGTTTATGTTGACAAAAGAACAGACTCACTGTTAGAGAGCTCTGTTGTGGGTCTGTGTGATGACTTGAGGTCACTATTGTGATCATTCAACATCACTTTGCATTTCAACTCGCTGCGCTATGCTCTTGTGTTTGGACTTTGTCAATATGGAAGGTCATTCATTTAAATATGAGGTTGAAAGCTATCGGCAATTTTATTTTTTCTTTGTTTTGTTTTTTAATGCATGCGCCTGGTGTTTACCGCAGGACACAAACATACATAATGCCGATGTTCTTTGTGGGGACAAAAAGTACAGAACAGTGTCATATCTGTTTGTATGATGCCCTGTAAATGCTACAAAACTTTTGAAATGGCAGGTGTTGTACAGCAGTCTGTCATTGACACAAATTATCGCAATAGATGAGTAAGCAACGTTTTAAAAGCCATATATCTTAGCATAAATTAGTCCCTGTCACCCCTGAATAATATATATACTTGTGGAAAGCTCAGCCATCGCATACACATTATGTCAGCTGTACTGGATTATGGCGATTTTAACCTAAATGTCTAAACCAACAAACCAAACCGAACAATGGGGTAACTGGAACTGAAGTTCTGTTGCATAACCATACATATCAATGTATATCTTTTTGAGTTCAAATCAAAGTTACTGGTGTTTGGAATTACGCAATGAGCTTAAAAAGTTATTTTAAAGATGGTGTCTAGGTTTGCAGGGATTTCTGAGTGCTTCTAATTTATTTGTTGTTTTGTCTGTCTGACTGTTTGTCTGACTGCCTTTTGTTTTTGTTTGTTTGTACTCCTGTTTTCTTTGTAAAGCGACCTTGGGTCCCATGAAAGGCGCTATACAAATCCAAGCTATTATTATTACTATTATTATTATTTAATGACTGCTGATAATAGGTCCGACAGACAAAAGGAAAGGCTCAAACTAAAATGTGAGTCATGATTAAAATCAATTGAAAAAAAACTAAAATATTAATGATGAGCCAGAAACATTTACTTACTATGCATTTATTTATTTAATTGTTCCAAAATGTTCTGGCAGCAATGGGCTTCCGTACCATTGACTATTGCATAAAAGAGTAGGTGGATTTCCTTCAAAAAACGTAATTTCCCTCAAGATACTCGAATTTGATTGGATTAGGAAAGAGTCAACTGATGTATCTATTTAATTGAGGACTTCCGGAAAGATAACAAAAAAAAGAATGGGACATATATGTCTGCAGAGTCCATTTTAGGTATTGAAAGAATGAATGTCTGTGGGTGTAAATGATAGACACCTATAATCACAGATGCTGCTCATCTGTTGAATGCAATTATAGATGTGACATATAAAGTGTAGCGTATGAAGTATTTCTGGTAAAAGTCCTTACGTGGAAGACGAGTGCTGAAGAGCCTGGAGCACAGTGTGTTTGTTGTGCAGGGTGGCAGGGATGCGTCTGGTTGTGTTTGCTCTCTGTGGTTGTGTGCAGCACGTTAATGGGCACGTTCATACAACCGCGCTGCGTGTGGTAAACAGACCTCATGCAGAGTATGTGGACCGGACTAAAATTAGCTCAGATTTCGATGCCATAAAGGCTGAGAGCTTAACTTGGTAATAGTAATGTTATATGTTTTTGAAGCGGGTATATAGACACAGAGGATACTGCGGTGTGTGTATTTTGGTTAACATCTGAGCAAAATGGTATATATTTTCTTTGCTATAAATGTCAAACATGGTCCATTAACATGTGCTTTAAAATGCTAACATCCTGCCCATTATGGGGCACCCCCCCTTGACTTTTTTCTTTTGTGTAGCTATGAGATTGAGAGTTTTGTTTTGAGTGAAAATTCTCAAACTGTGTGCTTTACAGAAGAAGAATCAAGCTGTTTAAGAAACGGTGTTTGCTGTATATTTTAGAATTGACTTTAAAGTTATTTTACTTGTTGATAAAGCTTTAAAGGACCTCCCTACATCAGAGATCTTGTTTATTTTTGTTTTACAGCTAGAACACTAAGCTCTCCCACTGCTTTCGTTTTAACTCTTGCTCATGTGACCCATGAAAGTAGCTATGAGTTCTGTTTTACGCCTCTAAAATGGAGCTCACTCTGCTGCCTCTGGTTATCAGAATGGCAAACTCTGTATTTAAAAAAAAGGAAATCGAAGAACAATCTTTTTAATCTGGCTTTTAATTATACTATGAATAAATCGTATAGACTTAGTTTTAAATGTTATTTCTTACTGATGGATTTTTCTATATTTATTTATTTTCAACATTTTATTGTCTTATTTTGAAGGAATAGTATGTTATATACCTTTTTAAAGTAAATGGTCTGCAAAGGCTAACATCCCAAAGTGTCTCTCTCACAGTCCATCCACCACCTGCATTTGCATTTATGTTTGCTGTTTGCAGTGCTCAATTTGCATGTGCAACAGAATAAGGCAGACCACACTTTCCCTGCATTGGAAGCTGCTTGGAAGGCAGAGTGAAGCATTCTTGAGTAATATTTCAGAGATGGCATCATGTCATGACACAGAGGCCTGCGTTGACATGTGTGCTGTGCTTTAAAAAGTTGCACTCAGCGCCTCAGGATCAAATGTACTGCGGAGGAGTCCATACTGTCAGGTTGAAGCATTCCAAAGGTTTACACAGCTCCATCCTCTCACATCAAAGGGATCTCTCTGAATGTGTGTGTTGGAGTGTTGGTACATTTCTAGAATTGCACGCCCACTCCACTCTCAGGCCGGCTGCTGCTGTATGAGCTTTACAGCTTCACGACAGCAGTTTCCTCCCCTGCGTGTTTACGACACACCTGAATGACGCAGTTTCCTTTTCAAACCTTTAGGGAGGGACGCCAAGTGTAGGGAGAAGCATGACTAGCCATTATGCAGGTTTATGATTCCTAGGTCTTGTTTTGACATGTAGTCGCATAAAGAGAAAAAGATTTAGAGCCCATTTCTGTCTGAAGCACAGAACAAAATGATTTTAAATGGCAGAGCTCTTCCACTTTTAAATTATGATATAATCCAAAATATTCAGTTCTTCAAAGTAGAGTGTAATATTCTTTTATTTTGAGAAATGTATTTACTTTATATTTTTGTATATTTACATTTCTTTATTTTTTTTACAAGTTCTATATTTGCAACTTTTTTCCCAACTTAATTCCTCTTACTGTGTTTAGGTATGCACCATTTTACACCAGAGCAAATTCCTTCAAACTGTAAATATACTCACCAATAAACCTGATTCCGAGTTGTTTGTGACGACTTTGGACAAAATATTCCCTGATCTTTTCCTTTGTAAGCATTTTTCATTCAAACAATCAATGCCAGACAAAACATAAATGCGTTCGTAGAATTCTCCATTTCTAAAGTACAACTTCAAACCTGACTTGGATCGTAGTGTTGACTTTTTGGGAAAAGAGTAGGCGGGAGATCTTCAGATGTGCATGTTTTGTCCCGGTGTTACCACCTGGCAGCAGGCCTTCGGTGGCCTCCATGTTGGCACGGTGTGGGCAGCAGCAGCAGATGATCCTCTGTTGAAATATCCACACATCTTTTATTGGGACACACTGCAGGGACATGTGTTCTGATGTGTCCAATTCACTCTGAGAAGCAGTACATCTTTAGACAGCAGTGCTTTGAATGATACGGTTGTATAAATCACACAGGAACAGAGTCAAGCCAAGATCCTGTTGCTACGTTTAGTTAGACACTCTATCTAGTGATGTGCTTCACATGAGAGCAGTAATAAGTCTCCTCTCAGATGGAGTGATTTATGAAGAGTCTTAGGTGCTGATAAGCTCGTTTGATCTTAGCATGCCAAAGCCACAATAAAGGAAACAAAGGCTTTTGGAGCCAGGGCTTTACAGTAACCACAGTTATGATGAGGGTGTGCGTATTAAAGCATGTATGTGTGAAGAGATATCCACACACAGAAAGCTGACAAGGATTTTAGTTTGCCCCTCTTGGGCTCATGGTATGGCCAATCTAGCTTAAAGCGTTTTTTTGGTAATGGTTAATACATTAAATAAAAGTAAAAGGTATGTGACTGAAGTATAATACAAGTGTAATACACACTTTCGTACAGTGACTGCTGACTGACTTACCTCACCTACTCTGTGTTAACAAACTTTATAATCTGCCTTATTCTTATGTATGCCATGGATGTGTATTATTTGATTTAGTTAACATGTGCTTGCCTCCTTATGTTAGCATATTTATTGTATTTGCCATTTTATCTGCACTGTGCCTATGATTTAACAATGTAATATTCCCATTGTTAGACGTATAAAAGGATTTCTGATACTAAATGTAAACTATTAAGTTGGCTATATGAAATGAAAACATGGTCCTATTTTTTTGTGATTAAAATACCAAGGAAAAATAGTGAGTTTCTTTTTATATTATACAGAACTACTGTATAGTGAAAAGTTATCATGAAAATTTTGAATTTTGGAGTAAAAAATAAATCCTATTAAAACAAACGTTTCATTTAACAGAGCAGAATCCTTAGGTGCAGGGTGTTTTTGTCGGAGTCCAGTTTGTCAATCTCATTGAATGAGGCGTAGAAACCACGGTATTCAAATAGTATCAATGCGATTTATTACATTTTCGAAAAAAAGTGAGTTGTTATGTGCTTCTTATTATCAACTAATACAACGTAATTGTGTATCTTCATACCTTAAAATATGATTTCATCACAATGAACCACTCAAAGAAAGTAAACTATTGAATTATTGTCCAGCTCTTTGCCCCTCGTGGTATTATTCTGTTATACTCTGATACTGTATCATCTCTCATTCTCAATAAGTTGTGGTATAACAAATAAATAAAAGAAGAGGGTTATTCTGGGTGATGTATCCATAAAGTCTCTTTCCTTTAGTAAGCATATTTCTCTGTAGCATTCCCATATGTCTCCCTGAAGTCTATACCCACAAAAACAATGGACATTAATGTGATTTTGAATAAAAAAAAGAGAGGATAATAATCCACTTGGTCAGCATAATTTAATGAGACAGAGTGTGAAAGGAACTAAGTGGATAACCAAACGCAGAGTGGGTGGTGGATGGAGTCAGTGATATTTCAGCTTCCCTGGGTGGTAAGGGAGGGTGACAGAGGGGGGTGGTGTGTGTGTGTGGGGAGGGGGGGGGGGGGGGGGGGTTGAGAGGGTCAGTAATTAAACCAGCGCCACCAGATTTAACTAGTATATGTAAAGCATATGGAGAGATCAGAGCGAAAGAGAGGAAGGACACAAAGCAGCGTCATTATTTTAATATCAGTCCCCCAGCCTGTTTGGACAGGCAGGATTTGCAAGATGGGTTTTTCAGCCAGAGCCTGGGGGCAGGGTGGGGTGCGGTGCGGTGGAAATAGTCGACTTCGTGGTACTCAGGGTGTGGCTGCTCTGGGAACAGTTCTCCTTTCAACAGGGGAAATCTCAGCACAGGTCACATCCCACCTCAGGACACCAGATGAAACTGCATGTCAGCTTCCTGTTGTCTCCTTCATTTACTTCATGATCAGCGACCTGAACTAAGGTCACAGATACCTGAGCCATACCATCATAAGAACAACGTAAACCAATGTATATATTGTTTAATGATTTATATAAATGATTATAAATGACACTTATAAAACACATTTTTTAAATATTATTTATTTGAAATGATTCATTATACTTTATGAATATTACGTATATTTTTCACTTAGTATGCAATAATAGGTTAGGGTTAGTTTTTCATAGATATTTGTTGTATAGTTGTATTCGATTTTTTGTATATTTGTATTTCTTTTAATTGTTTTTCATTGATTTCATATTTGCTGCTTTATACCTCTTACTGTGTTTATGTATGCATCATTATACCCCAAAGCTAGTTCCTTTTATGTGAACACTTATTTGTCATACAAACTGTTTCTGTTTATTATTTTTTGGAAAATGTTCAAATGGAAGAAACATTTTGCACAAAACACACCAATAAGAAAATGTCCATGTTATAATTACTTACTTATACAAATTCTAGTTTATGGTCAAAGTGTTGACTTTAATTTCATCTTTAATTTGTCACATGAGCATAGCTATATCCACAACTCACAGCAAATGCTTAACTTGGAATCTGAAATGGAGATGATGTCAGTGTGGAGAGAGCAAATTAGTAACGTGATAAGCGTTGGAAGTGAAACATTAGACGTGGAATCGGAGTTGTGATGGACCCAGAATCCTGACTGACCCTGCTTCTCGGCTGACATGTGAGATTCTTCGGAGGCCTGAGGGTCAACACCGGCCCAGCGTGGTCAAGACTGATCACATAATGAACACAACACCAATTCTCTTTTCATCAGACTTTATTTATATTGAAAGCACATGAAAGAAACATTACATACAAACCTTTTAAATAACTCAGTTACAGCGATGAATTAGTTCGGAAAGAGAGGCACACACACGGAGATATAAACAGAATATCTAGACAAATGCACAAACACATTCAGAAAGGCAAGCCAAAAAGGGGGGCTCCCTTATGGAACAGGACATTCTGAAACTGCCAAGAAAAACACTCTTCGAGCCAGAAGCCGTTCCAGCCTTATCAAATGATTTAGTTTTTATGACCAGGAAAAAGTGATTTTGCTTTGTTCTAGAAAAAAAAAGAAAAGAAAACTGAGGCTTTGCTGCAAAAGTGTCCGCTGGTCAAGCAAACATTTTCAGCTTCGTGTAATTACCAATTTGTGGCCCTTAGAAAAAGAGGCTCAAAGGAGTTGTTCCAATAAAACAGCAGCCTCCTAAAAAAAAAAGTGTGTGTGTTGAGCAACAGAAGAAAGTTCTCAGTTAGAGAGAAGAGGGAAGTGTAAAAGGGAAGGGGAGGGCACTGCGTGTACCATACCTAGAGCTGGGTGTCACAATGTGATGTGTTGCAATAAGGTGTGTACTGTCTGGATTCTCTGGAAATTCAAGAGGACAGAGCCAACACACACACACGTATATGTAGAGAAGTACACCATTGACATCACTACATCTGCATTTGCAAACATGCCAAAACACAGTTCCCCACATAAAAACCCTCACGGACGTCAGCATGGAGGAAATAAACACTAGACCCAAGCGGTTGGGATAAAAAAAGGGAAGCGACATTGCAGCGCACACCTCTAAATGGGAACTGATGCTAACTGATAAATGACAATAACAGAAGGAGGACAAAAACAGGATGCTGGTCAGATGAAAGAGCCCGAAATGTCAGACAGCCTACAGACTGTTGTCGCCTTGCAACGTTAACAGCCAACACCAGTCTGATAAGCTATCTGACAGGCCGGGAGCGTGACTGAGACGGACGCATGTACAGAAACCACAATGAAAAAAATAAATCCTGATCCGACTTACCATAACAGGAGAAAAGAGGAGATGTGAGTGGAGCTGGTGCAGAGCGCAGGGTTCAGCCTGCTCAACAGTGCCCCTCTGTTTTGAATCTACGCAAGTGATTCGTCTCCTGGCGCTGTGACTGGAGCGGTGCAACGAGTTCATTCGAAGGTTCAGCTGAGGTAACGGCACAGACGCTTTTCACTGTGCGCTTGAGGTTTTTTTTTCTTCCTCTCCCTCCTGCTTGCTCTAGCGCCCACTGTGCTCAGTCCAGCGTAGCACAGCAGCGGCACAGAGACGGAGGAGTGAAAAGCACATTTCTCCGGCAATTACAAAAAAAAAAGAAGGAGGTGAATAAATGGGAGAGCCAGCTGTATTATCCGACAAGCAAAAAAATATAAAAATGCTATTGAGATGCTCTTGAGTTGTCAAACATGAGCTCGCTGTCCACATCGAGGTAAAAAGGATTTAAAGGAACGCTGGAGACAAAGAAAAACACTCACCCTGACACACACTGTCTCTAAGTTAAAGGAGCAGCCGCTATCTGCTATAGGAAGACTTCCAGGCAGACACAGTCTATTAGTGGAGCGCAATCTGCTTTAATCCATAAAAGATAAAAGGGAGAGCAACAAATGTGGCAGCCACGCAAACGCCTATCTCTCTCTCTCCCCCCCCCCCTCGGCTCCCCGTCTCACACACAGGCACGCGCACATAGTGGCAGATCTGATTCAATATATGAATGCATCTGGTGAAGTGGCCCCGGGCTGACTCATGTGCTCTCTTCCTGGAAGCAGAACAATAACGGCAGACAAAGAGACCAGCAGGGGGATTCAGGGCCGATTTATCATTCCTCGTCCAAAAGTACCTTGGTGGGCTTTACTGCGCGGACAATAGAAGAGGTGGTCCTCCAAAGAACCGTGAAACATTGGTTAACATCTCTACAATACAGTGACTTAGAGCTCTAAAATACGACACCATCATAAAGTCTTATCTTACCACGGATAATACTGCATAACAACTCTACAGTACTCTTCCTAATAATCAGATAACACATCATTATCTTATTGAACGAAAAAAGTAGCGCTGAATTTACAGAACATTCACGGCGCAACAAAAGAAAGCTTACTCAAAAAATAGGAATTAAAGAGACTCCATGGACAAATAATGTTCTTCTAGTGCAGCTTAAGGCCTCACTGGGAAATGACTGCCTACTTCTCACGTGCTCAAAGTGCCGACATGAACTACTCACGACAAGAAAACCTACCTTACAACTGCTGAAACACTACCAAAAGCAAAGCCTGGAAAAACAAGTCCAAGATCAACATGTTGCTACAGCAACACCACAGGAACTAGATGCAGCGCCTCAGATAATGGTGGCTTGTCAGCTGAAATGAGTCGGGGGGTTTGGGGAGAGCTTCTGAAGTTGATGCTTGGCAGTGATGGCTATCTGGCCTTCACTCCGTCTTGCCCTCCGAGTGTTTCCCCGGCTGCCTGCGCTGGCTGTAGCTCTGGGCCATGGAGTTGACAATGGAGCAGACAAAGAAGCATACCATGATGACCACAACCTTCTCGAAGAGCCACGGCAGCCAGCTCTCCTCCTGCCAGGAAACCACAGCGAGAACAGAGAGAGAGAGAGAGAGGAGCTCGGTCAGTAAGTTTAGTGCCCCCCCCTCTTCACCCCACACCCTGCTATCCCCTCTGCTCCTGATGCTGTAGGCTAGGTGGGGATCCAGCTCCATGTGCAGGACAGATAGAGATCAGGGGTAATAAAACACGCGGCAGCCCCCCCCCCCGTCCTCCCTCCCAACGCCCCCGCTGACCCCATCCTGCAGCCTGCCTCCACCAAGTTAAATTGCCTCGCTTCACTCCTGTAACTGCAGCGGGCTCAAGTTACAAGGAAAAAGGAACATTGTTCTAAAAAATGCCTTAATCTGTCCTTGTGCAACTCAAAGTTGATCCTGTTTTGTTTTCCTTTCTTCTTCTTAGTAAGTGATTAAAAAAAGAAAAAGAGAATTTTCAATGAATAAAGAGACAAAGAGCGAGTGAGGAATGGAGGAAAACGCTTTGAAAGAGAAACAGGCTACAGCTACAACTGGCGCTTTTTGTTCTAGACAGGGGGTTTTGATGGATTGTCAGTGGCGGAGGGGAGGGGGGCCCCCGCCCCAGTCTACAGTCAGTGCTGAGTTCAGGCGGGGCATTGAGTGCAAGTGTGTGTGTGTGTGACACATAGGGGAGTGACCACACAGCACACACACTCCCAATTGGTAAGATGGAGCATGAGTCAGCACGCCCCGCGCTACAGTAGTACAGTTCAATACAGCGAGTGGAGCCAGACCCCACGCTGGCCCCTCTTCCTACCCCCTCCCCCCCAGCCCGCCCAGTGCAGCGCTAACCTACTCTGTTATTCTGGCCCTAAACAAGCCCCTGTAATCTACTCTAGCACTACAGGGTATAGTCAAGTCTACAACATTTCTCTTATTAATAAAAAAAGAAAGAAATGAAACTGATTAAAAAGCAAGTGGCACAGGTAGAGAGGGTGAGAACATGAGAGAGGGAAAATGGGTCAGAGATATAAAGGGAGGCTCAGATAAAGAGAAGAAAGGGACAGAAATAAAAGTGGAGGGAGAAGGAGTGAAAGAGGCAAAAGTAAGGGGGCCGCATTCTTGTCTTGGCGCGCGCGAATGAATAGGGGCCGTGAGCTGGGGGGTCGAGGCCCCTGTACTTACAGTCGGGATCCCCTCTCCGGCGTGATGGTGCAGCTTGGCCTTCTGGGTCTCCAAGTACTCCCTGAAGGGCTTCTGCAGTGCCGCACCCAGCAGTGGAAACGCTCTGCCTCCACCAACACACAGAGACAGAGAGGGTGGGAAGAAGAGAGGAAAAGGAGGGAAAGGAAGAAGAGAGAAAGAGAGAGATAGAGGGTAGAAGGGGAGGAAGGGGGGGAGGCACAAATCACGTCACGTCATTGTTACTCACCAGCTCAAGGGCAGCAACAAAGGGAGACATGCTGTCCTGTACAGTGTCGCTCCCCCCTGCTTCCTCTCTCGGAGAAGAGAGAGAGAGCGAAAGAGAGGGGGCAACGAGTGCAATCCCGTCACTGCTCATCCCCACACACACACACATCCCCACACTCTCACACACACACACACACACACACACACAGTAAAACACAGACTATACCACAGCTCTAGAAAACAGTGCTGCTGAAAAACAAAAAGAGGAAAAAATGAAATAAAGATAAATAAAGTTGTCCGGTCCTCTAACAGCAGCGGTAGTCAGCCACATTCTCCCGCTCTGTTCTCCTCTCCTCTCCTCTCCTCTCCTCTCCTTTCCTCTCCTCTCCTCTCCCACACACACACACACACACACACACACACACACACATACTCGGCTTCCTCTCACTCACACACGCACCGCGGTGAACCCGTTCAACTCCCCTGCAGTGCCTCCTCTGCCGCTGCAGCGGGGAGAAATGAATGACTTCTCAGAACTCTCACATTTATCACAGGCGGTTCCTGTAAGAACTGGTTTCAGCCAATTAATGAGGAAGTGAGTCGTACCCGAGCTGTGTCATCACTGGCTAAGACCTGGGGGGGATGGCCCACAGAGGGAGGGAGCTCCTGTAAGACAGCCCATATTAGGAAACCCATACAAGATTTAGGCACCAACTACAAGCATACTACTAACCCCCCCCCCCCCCATCCTCACACACACACACACACACACATACAAAAAAGACGCGAGAGAATGCCCTGGAATAGCGAATGAGCGGCCCATCCCTTGGCTGGAGTTAGTGATTAATCACTAAACAAATACATACTAAAGACCTTCACTTATTCTCTTTTGTGGCTATACACACTCAATTATATCCCGAGCCATTGTTTAAAAACCCTCCTCATGTTCCTACTCTTTTGTTTAAGTTGGGGAGGCATCATCAAAGCTCGGAGACACATCAAAGATTTGAAAGCAGCTTTGCGTGGGCAGTGGTGTCACACACGGTTGAGTTTATAGCTGATAACTTTCTCCGAGGGAGGCAAGTCATTTCCGTCCCTCCACACCTCCGCACACACACCTATGTTAAATGATTTGAGTTTACAACAAGGAAGCCGTTTAGTAATCATTAACTTCATATCAGGTAATGCATTCTACATGTGAGAGCCGACAGGAAGTGTAACAGATAGATCACGCTTTATATGACACAATAGAAAATGGTATCAAAAATCAAGTTGTTTTTTTTTTGGAGGGAAACTAAGCCTCTCCTTTTCCCATCCCCCACTTTTAAAAACTCCTAACATCTAAACACTCTGAAACTCACTAAACTCATTTAAAAAAGATACGTAACCTGGATGAAATGCTGAATAATAGTTTGCTCATGACAAAAAGATCAGAAAACACATGTGGAAATATACCAGTTCAGCAGATACAAGTAAACAGGCGAGGACAAAGAGTAAGGGAAAGAGTTTTCAGAAATGGCGGGCGAATCATCTCCTACACGATGAGCAATACTGAGTCATGAGCCCGGGCAAATCCACCAACAAAGCAGCTCCAAGCCATGAGTCTAAAACACATTTTAATGCCTGAGAGTCACAGCACCTCACCGGCTTTACAATAAAAACAGCTGATTTTGTGCTTTTTTTTTGGGATATATCGTTACTTTCTTCAGAAGGTGTTATGAAATTGAGGATTTAAGAATTTCTACTGTAAGTGTGTTCATGATTTACCTGCAAGTACCTGTGCTGAACATTTTAACTTGAAAGAGGTTCACAATATTGTCATTTCATGTACTTCTGATTAGGATTAAATAAGGAATGTGCATGCTTTAAATATATGTAATCCATAATAATGTGTTGTACAGTAACTGCTTTAAGAAAAGGTTTTAATGTTAAGTAAAAGTTTGGAAAATCACATTTTCTAAGTTCTTTCTTTGTTGAGTAAAGGCGAGAGAGGGAAAAACCAGAAGCTGAACTTTACAACAGCCATAAGATGTAATTTAGCAAACAGTAAACCTGAGCTATTTACTCAGGAGCCACTGAACATACATTAACAAAGGGTTTGGCAAAATCCTGAGAGTTCAGTGAAACAGAAAAGTCCTCTCTTTTTCTCGGTAATCACTTTGTTGAGTCAGAAGAGACATACATTTGAACGAAAGTATTTACAGCACTTTTTAAAAAGCAGAACATCTGTGTGCTTTAACTCTAAATGCTCCATAACAATGTCTGTTTGAACTTTAAAGGCTTATTCATGAAAACAATCATGTCTCAATTTATGGTGATCATTACTAGGTACAAAATGTAGATTAACTAGATGAGCATGCATCATATCATTTAGTTCCAAATTAAATATAAAGATGCAGGAATAGTCATTAAGAAAATAAAAAGAGTCTCTATTTTAATCGGCTGAAAACAGCAGTGACATAAATGTGCATTATATTATTATTATAAAGTAATTTATTGTCCTTGTCTTCAAACAGTTTCTAAGCATTTTGTAAGGCATTAAAGGACAGAAACTGGATTTTAACTTGATTCAATGCTGTATATCAATACAAAAAAAGTATAAACAGTCAAAATTGTTTTATGTATTTCTTATTACAATTCTCATTTCTGTGGGTGTGTATCCAACAAATATAAATTGACATGTATTACCAAGTGTTTCAAACATTGCAGTTACTCCGAACTGATCTATATGATATGACTCTACTCACATTCTTCCCCCAAAGAGAAAATGTTATGGGCTATTTGAAATGGATAATAATAAAGAAAGAATGAAAAGTCTTAAAAAGTAGCTGCTTTTACAACTAAAAACTATAAAGCCTGCATGTGTAGATCCTATCACACTTTATAGCAGTTGTTCTCAAATTGATCAAATTACTTCCAGAAGTTGTTCAGAAAAGGACACGCTTCACTTTCCTGGGTTACGAAAAAGATGATCAGTAAATATGTGTGGCTTATTATCAATTTAACATGTGTAATTATTATACCTGAACATATTTCACCTCAGTGTGTGTAATGTTACTAATACAAACATGAATCTATGTAAATGTAGGCTTCTACATATGAAGAGGCAATGATCAGAGTGATCTTCATTTAGAATCATTTATTTCATCTTTAAAAATGTGTGACATTTTGCAGTCCATCTCTAAAAGACAAATTCAATTCAATTGTATTTATGAATTGATCCAATGTAATATAGAGAAGCAAACATTGTAATGAAAATATTTAGAGGAATGAACATGTTTGTAAATATCTGACATGATTAGACTTCATGTGTGAAGAGACTTTAGTTGTAGCAGATATAAAACCTGGATGTATGATGATTTCAAATAAAACAGAAAATACAAATAAATTGACATTGCCCGTCTGTACAAACTCTTGTTGAACAGTGTTTGTAATACGGTGCCATTGGGGTATGCAAAATGACTGTGTTGAGAGGGGAATACCACTTCACCTGAGAATGAATGCAAAGTGACCCGATGCAGTTGATTAATATTTCTGACAATAAACATATTTTACTCGGAGATACAGATGGAAAACACAGGCCCATCCTACACTGTCTTTAAACTCAGGACTTTTCCTTTTTTTCAAAATCACTGATGAATACAAAAGGTTTTGACAAATTGTATCAGTGTGTCAGTGAAATTCAACAAGGCTGTCAGTGGACTTCACATTTCTTTGAACCTGTTAAAATGGTATATGTTGTTGTTGTTATGCTGCACGTATCTGAAAAGGTCTTAACATCTGATCTGAGGGGAATTTCTTGTGGTTTATTTTTAACTTATGTGTCATGTGTGCCATTTTGCCACTTTAAGCTGCACGTGCTGTATGAAAAGTGCTATATAAATAAAACATTTTATTATTAGTATTATCAGTTATTATAATTAGAGCAGTATATAACAGATGCACTTATTTCTTTATGTAAAACAGCTATTGTCATTATCAAACTGTGAAATATAAATATGAAATTATATATTTGTACAAAAACAAACAATTAGGGGTTATTAAAGATTTGTGGGGATGTGTGACCCCTACCCACTTTCCCTTCTTGACAGAACCAAGCGACTCATCTCTCTGCTAGGGAAAAAAACCTGAATATAAAATATTTCCCGTCTCCCTGTGAACTACACAGAGGAAATCTTTACAATTACAGTTGACAAACAGATATTTCTTTACAGTCACTTAAGTTTACCTAATTTTTCAAACTAAGAAAAATAAGCAAATACAGTATTTGGATCTTTCGGAGTTCACTGCTGGGCTGCAGGTTACAAACAGCATCCTCTGCTCTAAATGTATAACTTCAAAAAATAAAATGAGGGAACAAAAGCTACACATCTAGTCTCATGACAGAGGAAATATAATGCACACATTTTGCACTGAAGCTATTCCAGCATTGGGTACAAATGATAGACCTTTCACCAGCAGTGTCACAAATCAGGGAAACAAAGAAATCTCAATCAATCATCAGGAAAGAAATGAGCTTGAGGGATAAACTGACAAATCAATGAAACATGGAGGGAAAACCCCACATCTCTGTACTTCCTGCAGCCTTTTTATTGCAGTGAAGGGTTAATTCATGAGTACGATGTCCGCTTCTCATTTTTTAATGAACTATCATTTCCTGCTGAGTGTGAAGCGTATTTAGGCATCCTGTGTTCGTTTTGTGAAAATTCCACAGGCTGTGAGTCAGAGAAGACCTTTGACCTGTCTGCCCCTTCTGAAGGCTGTCACCTCCTATAACTTCCAACACATACACTCGTAAAATGCACAATTTCTTGTCCTTTATGGTAATGGCTCCCACAAGTAAACACACACACTTGTGCCCCGATGAAAGAGAACAAG